TAAATTTACTGAGTTTTAAAGGCACAGAAAGATTCATAATTCACTCTTTACAAGGATACAGAGGAATCCAGTCATTCAGACAAGGAGTGGTAGCGTGTTCATTTTTATTAACTTTTGTTGTATCAGTTATTAGTTACGTTCGAAAAGGGGGTTAAGTTTAGGGACGGTAGGGATGTATTTTTCAACGAATTCTGACATCCGTTAAATGCATGTCGACTGTTGTTTTTTTTTTAAATTTTATTGTTAACGGCAATACTGAAAGAGTTTTTTTTTTATGTTTAGGTTAGAATACGTTTTATTTAATTACAATTTTTAAATATGTTCAATGACGGCAAAAAATAGATATGTCATTTCTCTGATTCAGTAAACATTTATTTTTTATAAACGTAGTAATATATAGTTTCTCACGTATGAACAAAGGACATGGGTCATTTAATGGCCTATATATTCTAGCTTTTCTTATTAATTTCATTTTACTTTAGGTGTTTTATTGGATTCTATTAAGTGCTAAAAGTACTTTGAGAGAGATGTTTAGGTTAGAATACATTTTATTTAACTGTGGCACCATTTAACGAGGCAGAAAAAGAAAAGAAAGAAAAGAAGGAAGGGAGAGGATAAGGACCGAATCGTGGATGATAAGCAGAACACACACACGGCTAAGAGACAATGGATAAAAGTATATTTTGATAAGTAACAAATGGCGAAAGAGTGTCATTACAATGACAGGGAAATTCTGAGTAAAAAGAAAGGGAAAGAAAGAAAGAATCAGATATGTTTTGGCGACGGCTGTGTTATCTAAGGATATGAAAACAAACTATTGGTACGGGAAAGCATCTTATTATCAACTACAGACCGACTGGCCAAAGAAAAATTCAAATGAAAATGGTATTTCGATAAGTGACGAAAATCAGGCAACTAAAATGACTTTGGACAGATATGAAAAATTAAAAGCCACCCACGAGTGTCCGCTGACCGATTTCCTTCGACGGAACATTCTTGGCCTGCGATAATAAAATTATGTGATCAGAAATATGTACCGAAGGGGAATGAATGGGAATTTAGAAATGTCTTTTCGGGGCGACGCTGGCCGTGTTAAGAAGACCACCCATTCGGATAATTAGCGTAAAATACCTGACGAAAACCACGTGTAGAACAAGAGTTATGACCGCCATTGTTCATATTGTCCCGTTTGCGGCTAGAGAAATGATAACGGCGATTAAGAGGAAGAAAAGGAAAAGAAGGGATAATTTTTTTTTAGTTAAGCAAGATATTTTTTCCGAAACAAAGCCGCGGATTCGTCCACGCCCGACTAAGACATCATTGGTCAAGTGGTGATCACGGGACGCACGAAAGAGGCTGTCGCCGCCCATCCAGAGTGTAGGTATGAGAAGTTGCTACGAAGAAGTGGGGAGGGCAGTTCACGCCCTCTGAAGTATGGTGAGAAGGTGGGATTGAGGAAAGTTTCCCAAAAATGGAAAAAAGTGGAAATTCCTAACCAGAGAGGTGGATATGTATTTAGAATTATCGAGGAAACCCCGACGCCGACAGACCCACCCCGGTTTTGGTCGGCGTCCATATAAGCGAAGCCACAACGAGCAGAAATCAGTTCCAGTGAGTTCAGTTCCAGAAAAGTTTGAGTTGAGTTTCCAGTTGAAGACGCCTCGCAGATAGTTGACCAAGATTCACGCAAATTCCGGACTCCTCTTCAACCCAAGAACAATTATTTTGAAGAGCGACTTAAATCCAGACCACCACAATATTTTTTTTTCGACTTTCGTCCAAAGACACCGAAACAACAATTTCTTAGAGAGCAAACAACTTGAAGCGTTAAAACTTGCCTAACGGAAAACGACGTGTAACAATCCATAGAACGGGTTGGGAGATAGATGCAGTCCTATGTATCGAACAAATAGACATAAAGTTTGTTACCTTTTTCTTTGATACTTTGAACTTTTGAGTTTTCATTTTATTTTCTTTTATGCATATTTGTGTGGTATCACCCCCGTTGAACTCGGTTTGCATTACGGCCCCAACCACTGTTTGATCTCGTCTGCCTAAGATCAATTCACAACGTGGGTAGGCAGACTGGAGATCAATGCAGTTACCTTGGTAACCAGGCGTTGGAAGCGAGTTGGGAACGACGAGGCTGATATCAAACCTAACCAGATTCCCACCCGAATCACCAAAAGGTTAGAACGTCACATTTGGGTGCCGCGACCGATACCAAGCCAGTTGGTCGTCACAGGACGAGACAACACGACTGACGCGACAGGCGGACGTCACGTTTGGAGCAGAGACACCCGAACGGAGCAGCGAGGAGTGAACGGCTGGCGCCGCGGCGAGTACGTCACAATTGGTGCTGTTTAGGGACGTCACAGTTGGTGCCGTGGTAGACCAGAATAGAACGTCACAGTTGGCGCTGCGACCAGGGGACGACGTCACAAACTACACTTTTAAAAGATGTTTAGGTTAGAATTTATATCTTACTGTTCTTTCTTTTATTTAGATATACATATATCTATATCTATATATATCTCTATATATCAATTTATATATATATTTATATATATGTATCCGCTACTTTGGTTTCAACTTTGCGGAAACCTCAAAGGATATCCTTATCAAATGACCACCTAACATAATTTTATTTTTTTTTCTTTAAAACCTAAAGAACTTTACACTATTGTTTTCAAAAATAAACAAACAAAGAAACAACGCACGATGTTGGGTGTAATAGAAAGTGTGAAAAAGAAGAAAAACAAGCATGTGTAACATAAATGCATCGGTGTGGTGGGGGTAAATTACTTTTTTTATTTAGCCTCATATGCAACTCTGTCCATTAACATTTTAAGTATTAAAAAAAATTCTCAAATTATCATATTACTAAAAAACGCACTCACTTATATTTTCAAAAATTCAACGTTAGCGTTGCGACTGCACGCTCCAAATTTTGTATCCGTTAACAATAAAACATTTCGAAAAAAAGAAAAAAAATATTTCGATTCGCATTTAATATTTACGTCTCGAATGCTACCTAAATTTTACCAAAAACAAAATAATTTTCATGCCTGAAGATGAATGAATGTACAGTTGAAAGTACTTGCGTATTAAAAAAAAGACCTTATACAGCTTATAATTTAAAAAAAAAGGATCATAACATTCATCCAGTGATTTGTAGGTTAATGCACCTTTAAAATTTTGTTGGCGAAATGATTTCGCCATTTTATATCATTAACTTTACTAATATATATATATATATGGTTGTAATGTGGATTTTTTATCAAGAATATTTAACATCGAAAAACATAAAGGAAAAAAAATAATTATTTTTAATAATATGCGAAAATCTCCGCCTTTTACCTGAAGACGGTCGGGAGAACAGAAGCACGTGTAGTAAAATTATGGAAAATAAAGCATAATATTTTTAAAAAAAAATTCCCATTACAACCAAAAACGTTTGCGGTACCTCTCATCTTTTTAATATATATATATATATATATATATATATATATATATATATATAATTAGGCCAATTAGTTCAGAGCTTAACTTCTAGTATACCACGTACATAATGTCGACTGATTCCCATTTTCTTCGTATTCCATTGGTAGGTACCATTCAGACAGCACCTTCGCAGGGCTGTTATTTTGTGAACGACACCCGCTAAGATGCTTACGCCATTAGAAACATCTTAACTTCTTGTTGCCTTAGAGGAAATATTATCTATCTTACATATTCTCTGGTTACACACAACCTCCTTCAATTATCCGCTACCTTGTGAGGACTTTTCGATGAAAAATATATTTCTATGCTCATATGACTATAGGTTTAATTGTCTGTTTTTACCTAATCTATCTATCTATCTATCTATCTATCTATCTATCTTCTGTCTCTGATCATATGTATCTATGATCATATATATATATATATATATATATATATATATATATATATATATATATATATATACACTGTGTGTGTGACGTCATGATCGGCCGTGCAATTTTCGCTTCCAGCGTCTGATATGCACGTGTTTATCGTTGCTTGGAAATCATCTATGTAAACAGAAACAGACTATTATTACATTGTTGTCCGTGTATTACTCATTATATTGTAATGTAATTGTCATCTTTGATAATGGCGTATGTAAGCCGAAAGCTTAGATAGGATTAAAAAATATGTATCATTATTGTGATTTTCTTTCTTCGTTTTGTGGTAATGTTATTATGCTTATCAGACGTTTTGAAAAGAATTTGCATAAAATAAATAGACAACATTTGTCTACATTATTTAATGAAACATGTATGATTATATATATATATATATATATATATGATCATATATATATATGATCATATTTATATATGATGATCATTTCATATGATCTGATCATACCTTTCTAGATATTCAAGCTCACACTCCCACGCACATATATATATTAATAGATTATTTTAAATTTTCTGTTTCTTAATGCATTGCTTATCTTTTAGAAGGCATCTTTCGCTATGCCAATGCACCTTCGTATTTCGGGGACGCATTTTCTGTCCTATTTTAAGACACTTTCCAGGTATTTAGATTGTTGTACTTGCTTGTTTTTTTTTATATCTAATGCATAATTATCATGTTAGGCTGTTACTTTTGCTGACATCCATACATTCAGTGTTCTTGCAATGAATGTTTAGTCCTTTCTTTTTGCTTTCCTTTACGTGGTCTATTCTTCTTCCTGACATCCATATATTCTGTCTTCTTGCAATTGATGTTTATTCCTTTCTTCCTGCTTTCATTTACGTGGTCTATTCTTCTTGCTAAAATCCATACATTCTGTGTTCTTGCAAGTGATGTTTAGTCCTTTCGTCTTGCTTTCCATTACGTGGTCTGTTCTTCTTGCTGACATCCATACATTCTGTCTTCATACAATTGATGCTTAGTCCTTTCTTCTTGCTTTCCTTTACGTGGTCTATTCTTCTTGCTGACATCCATACATCCTGTCTTCTTGCAATTGATGCTTAGTCCTTTCTTCTTGCTTTCCTTTACGTGGTCTATTCTTCTTGCTGACATCCATACATCCTGTCTTCTTGCAATTGATGTTTATTCCTTTCTTCTTGCTTTCCTTTACGTGGTCTATTCATCCTGCTGACATCCATAAATCCTGTCTTCTTGAAATTGATGCTTTGTCCTTTCGTCTTGCTTTCCTTTACGTGGTCTATTCTTCTTGCTGACATCCATACATTCTGTGTTCTTGCAATTGATGTTTATTCCTTTATTCCTGCTTTCATTTACGTGGTCTATTATTCTTGCTGAAATTCATACATTCTGTGTTCTTGCAATTGATGTTTAGTCCTTTCTTCTTGCTTTCCTTTACATGGTCTATTCATCCTGCTGACATCCATACATACTGTCTTCTTGAAATTGATGCTTAGTCCTTTCGTCTTGCTTTCCATTACGTGGTCTATTCTTCTTGCTGACATCCATACATTCAGTCTTCTTGCAATTGATGCTTAGTCCTTTCGTCTTGCTTTCCTTTACGTGGTCTATTGTTCTTTCTGAAATTAATACATTCTGTCTTCATGCAACTGATGCTTAGTCCTTTCTTCTTGCTTTCCTTTACGTGGTCTATTCTTCTTGAGACATCCGTACATTCTGTCTTTTTGCAATTGATGTTTAGTCTTTCTTCTTGCTTTCCTTTACGTGGTCTATTCTTCTTGCTGACATCCATACATTCTGTCTTCTTGCAATTGATGCTTAGTCCTTTCTTCTTGCTTTCCGTTACTAACTCCGCTAGGAATTTCTGCAGTTTCTATTCTTTGGCTGCTATCAACGTATTTTATGTTGTTAAATAGTATATGCAAATATAACCTGGTAGAACTGTAAGTTTTGCAGTATAACCTCTGTGTCAAGACTGAATATGTCTGGTGAGAAGACACAAGCTTAATTGACGCTCTCTTTTTTTTATTTTTATGCATTTACTGCATTCATTTTCTATTTCTATGCAGGTGTTTTATTTATTTGTATTTCGCATGTAGCTATCTCGCCTTTGTAATTTGATTGTTGAGCTGATAATCTTTTTGCACCTTTACTTAAAATCAGAATGTTGCTGACAACCATGCATTTTGTCTTCTTGCAATTCATGTTTAGACCATCATTGCATTCTACAGGAGTTCTTGCAGTTTCCTTTTTTGTGTCTGCTATCAAAAATACTTCAGCTGCATCCTTTTCTTAATGCTATGTATATTTTCCGAAAGGTAACTTCCGCTAATTTTATGAGCCTACATTTCCTATCTTCTCTTATCCAAGATAATCCCATTTTGATCTCTGATTCGATTTGAAGTCACCAATATCGAGATCACTCCTTAAGCTTTATATTTTTATTGGATGTGATTTTCTCTTAAGCTTTGTAAGAATCAGTTCATCTCTGTACAAAATGCTAATAACAACTCCTATAAAACGAATACAATTGGAATCGGTTCTTTGATAAATGAAAACGTTAGCATAAATATTATAAGAAAAAATCAAGGGGATTCTTCACACCGCCGTAAGGTTGCCTCTCTGTCTTTTCTATAGATATTTTCAGGTTATTTGTTCGGATGAACTCTTCGCTATGGTGCCTTGAATTTTAGGTTTAAGTTCAGTACTAGCCTGACGTCAAGTTCTCAACAATTTACAGTTGAAATGGCGAGATGTAACCGCAAGTTCTATGCTAACAGTTTCTTTCTCCCTTGTGGAACTCTCTTCCGGTTTCTTCCTTCCCAGTCATCTTTTGATCTTCTACTAGATTGGCGGCAAGGTCTCATCATTTTACAGTTGAAATGGCGAGATGGAACCGTAAGTTCTATGCTAACAGTTCGTTTTCCCGCACTTCTAGCCTCTGGAACTCCCTTCCGGTTACATGCTCTAGCCAACTTTAATCTGCAAAAAAATTAATTCAAGATTTAGTTGAGTTAGATAAATATGAATAGACTGATAAATAGTTAGATAGATAGATAGATAGATAGATAGATAGATAGATAGATAGATAGATAGATAGATAGATAGTATAGTATAGTGTTAAATTATCGGCTGATGTCAAAAACGAACATTGGTTTGTTGTTAACTGTGACAAAGAATAGCTTGCTAATGTTAACTCCTCCAAAACTAACCTCATCTCTTTTAAAACCTGAGAGATACCTTTCTGCCTTCCATGGCTGATGCTAACCTCCAGGTGAGGGACTCATTGCGCTTTCTCGGGCTAAAATTCTCGGCGGATATAAAGAAGAAATAATATTTTAATAATAATTTATTCCATTACTAGTTTAGCGGCTAAGATTGATTCACTGTATTGTTCCAGACAATTTTTCTCAAAAGAATATAACTTTCATACCTATAAACCTATCATTCATTCATACATAGTATATTGCTGGCATATTTGGTCCGGTGCTCCTGCTATATATGTAGAAATCCTTGGTAAAAACCCAAGAAGAATCTGCAATATTACTGGTCATGATCGGGCGTCTCAGCTTCATCCACTTTCCCACCGCCGTAAAGCTGCCTCCCTGTGCCTTTTCTATAAATATTTTCATGGCAACTTTTCAAATGAGCTTTTCGCTATGACACCTAGACTTTTTAATTTAAATGTGTTACCAGACTAACATCGAAAGCTCATTAATTTACAGACGAGTTGGATAGATATAACCGCAAGTTCTATTCTAACAGTGTCTTTTCTCACACTTCTCGCTTGTGAAACTCTCTTCCGACTCCATGCTTTTAAATCAAATTTAAAAATTTAAATCCAATGTCAATCTACTGTCCTCCTGATTACTCTTTTTTATTCTCGCTCCTTAATAATGTTTGTATTTTCTAATTATTCTACACCCAGTAAGCCCTTGTGCCTCAGTGGCTTTACACGCTTGGGATGAATTCGGTTTAAAAAAGATAGATAGATAGATAGATAGATAGATAGATAGATAGATATGAACAGACTGAGACACACACACACACACACACATACATATATATATATATATATATATATATATATATAGAGAGAGAGAGAGAGAGAGATAGATATTAACAGTGCGAGATAGAAACATAGATATAATAGTCTGAGATAGATAGATATGAACAGACTGAGACATATATATATATATATATATATATATATATATATATATATATATATATATATATATATACAGAGAGAGAGAGAGAGAGAGAAAGATAGATGGATAGATAGATAGATATTAACAGTGCGAGACAGAAACCTAGTTTTGATATATAGATAGATAGATAGATAGATAGATAGATAGATAGATAGATAGATATGAGCAGACTGAGACACACACATATATATATATATATATATATATATATATATATAGAGAGAGAGAGAGAGAGATATTAACAGTGCGAGATAGAAACCTAGTCTTAGATAGATAGATAGATAGATAGATAGATAGATAGATTATTTTTTCATCTTTCGTTGCCGGAAAAATAATGCACCTCAGAATAAATAAATACAGTTTCTTGAAACGGAAGTGGCCACACGAAGTCTTTGTTATGCCTGCGTCACACAACATCCGTTTGTTACTGCTACCACATCGTCTCTTATGCCAAGATGTGTTTGGAACAGTGGCTAATTTGCTATCATTGGTTCACCATTTCTCCAAACATTCACTACGTTGAGGACGAGTTGACCCTTTGATTACTTTTGAAACAAACACATACGCACACACTCTGACACACGAACGCATACACGCACACACAGACACACATACACTCAGTGTGATAAATAGCGTGACACATACAGAGAGATTCATACACAGCCGTGACGGAGGCATGTGAGTTTGGAGAAACACACACATCAAACCCCACCAAAACAAACGCTCAGTGTCTTATGCATATAGTGGTAGATAGATATGAATAGAATGACATATATATATATATATATATATATATATATATATATATATATATATATATATATATATATAGATAGATAGATAGATAGGGAGATCTTGATAATTCTTATACAGCACCTGCCAGTAAATATATTTATTTTGTCCCCGGACACTGGTCAGTTTATTTTCAATGGTTTTCAAACACTTCCGAAGAAGAGTAAGAGACTTACTATTTTTTTCTTCCTTTTCTTCTTTTACATTTGATGTCTGTTAACTTTGGGATTTCTGTTATAAATCTCCCTCTCTCTCTCTCTCTCGATCACTGTCATACACAGACACACTAACTCACCTCTCTCTCTCTCTCTCTCTCTCTCTCTCTCTATATATATATATATATATATATATATATATATATATATATATATATATATGGTAAAGGTAACAAATCCGTTGATATATAATCCAAGTGGATCCATCACAAAGAGCTCAAAGTATTTATTATTACAGGTTAAATAAGTAATAAAATCAATAATTTCCTCATATATATATATATATATATATATATATATATATATATATATATATATATATATATATATATGTGTGTGTGTTTTTGTGTATGTCTCTGTGTGTGTGTCAATATTGGTATTCTCAAGCAGTCACCCATCTAGAACTAGTCAGGCTTGACGTTGTTTAACCAGTATTTCAACATGAGTTGGCCGTAAGTTTTATATATATATATATATATATATATATATATATATATATATATATATACATATATAGTGAAGGTAACAAATCCGTTTGTATATAATCCAAGTAGATCCTGGTAATATCAAATATGAAAACAGATCAACAAAAGGATCTCAATGTATTTATTATTACAGACCAAATAAGTAGTAAACAATAAAATCCAAAAAAATCAAATTATCTTATAAGGGAATAATCTATTTCAGTTGTCTGTCTTATCCACCTCGGTGTGGACTGAGTTTGTCATACATATATATATATATATATATATATATATATATATATATATATATATATATATATATATATAGCCTATATATATATATATATATATATATATATATATATATATATATACGTGTATATGTTATTGTGTATGTGTATTCGCATGTGTTTTTGAACATAGTAATATAGGTCCTTGCTAGATTAGATAATCGTTATATTTTTATATGTTTATATTTGATTTGTAACCTGTAGTCGATATTAAATTTCTCATATTTTCTCAATTACACAGCGGCCCTTTCAGTAAATGCAATTTTACTTTCCTTCGCCCTATGTCTCCCCCCCACCTCGTCTTTCCCTCCCTCTTATTCTGACATTAAATCGTCTATTGTGTGTGTATGTCACCACGAAATGTATCTTTATGCATTAGACATCTGAAAACATTCATATTTCTCTTAACCCCCTTCCACTCACCTCTCCTAAAATTCTCTCGGTTAAGGTTTAATCTCCTTCCTTCTGTAGACTCTCTCTAAATTCTGTTTTTATTTCCGGAGTTGTTTTTTTCTGTTTTCATTTTGAATTTGTAGGTCTGATGAATTGGATCGTATTTACGATTCCAATGGAATAAATTATGACCATGGAATATTAGTGTTTAAGCCTTTTTATTATATCCTTACTCTGTCCTGGACATTGAGTTCTACCTGAATTCTATCCTCTCGAATTTTTTTATTAAAAAATATACATATATGTATGCACCTATGTATATATATATATATCTATATATTTTGCATATGTATGTGTATATTTACCACAAATATTATATATATATATATATATATATATATATATATATATATATAATGATAAATATACGTGTATGTGTACTCCATGTTTCTGCGGGAGGATGTAATGTAGATATCAGATAAAAATATATATAACATGGGTTGTCCCTCCTATGAGAACGCGATGTGTAAAGTCTACCCCTGATCATTCTTACTTAACGATATCCCCTCCCTCATTGAATGAATGTTGATCAACTATTGGGTGCCTCATAGGCACATTGTTCGCAAAAAATTTGTGGGGTCAGGATATGTTTATTGTTTATATGTAACCGTAGGGATGGTCTGTATTAAACAGTACATATACAGCATTCTAACACCATAAATTGTCTTCGAATCTCCTGCCTTCGATTAGGAGTCGAACCCTGGCAACAGAAGAATTGCATTTTCTTCACATTCCAAAGCTCGGTGTGTTTTCTCGAAGTTCCTTTCCTCCGCTGCTTTCGCAAGGGAACCTCCTTTATTTAATCTGTTGCCGAAGATGCTGGAAATATCGTTGTCTTACTCTTGATTCAAAATTGTTTCTGATGTAATGGAATAACCAGTCAGCCCATGAATGTTTACACTATAGGTACTTGCTACCTATAAAATCCCATTGTTATTTTCTGTGTGAGTTCGTTTCAAACAACCTCGTCGCCACTCTTATATTCCGTGCTAAGGGAATAATGACATGACCCCAGGTGGATACTAGAAGAAAGGTTTATTGTACACAAGTACAATATGAAGTACGTTACAGTTATACACACAGGTCAATCTAGTAGTGAGTGCAACTAATTGGTCGGTCAGATACATAATAGTCTGCACAGACTGCCATGACAATAAGAAAGTACATTTTGTTTTGTGATCTTAGATCACTTTCTCTGTGATTAGATTTGAATATTTTGTCTGTGTAGTTTGATAAATTCCCATAATATTGTTACAAGTCCTGTGATTTGAGCCGGGTCTAGGTGGTGTTCATACAAATTTCTAGCAGTTTCCTTCTCGCAAAAGTTGCAGATTTTCTAGTGCTGATATTATCACACACTGTCTTGCGAATTTTCATATTCTGTGGATGATAATACCGTATAACCTGATACAAGATTGCTCAACTGTTTCAGGAGATATATCACAGAATCTTCTTTTCATGTTAACCCAAGTTTTCAGATTCTTCTTGAAAATGTCTAATTAGCAAACATTGAACCTTTGTAGCAAGAATAAAAACTTCTGTTTCAGCTTTTAACTCATGTTATATTCCGCGCTAAGGGAATAAACATGTAACCCCAGATCGATACTAAAAGAAAGATTTCTTGTATGCAACCAGTACAATATGAAATATGGTACAGTTATACACACAGGTCAATCTAGTAGTGAGTGCCACTAATTGTTAGGTCGGACATTGTTTGGGTCGTCTCGCTCTCACTCGTAATATTTAACAGCCCTCCACGAGGGATGTAAATGGCAAAAGGCCGAGTTAACCGTGGGTTCTCCGAGCCCGTAGGCTTGGCCAAGAATTTGCCCTTAGAACCCGCTACCTACCCGGATGAAACTTTGCCCTTCGGCAAAGCCTCGTCCGGGTTCCTCTCTGCCCAGAGGCAGAGAGTTAGAGAGCCGCTGTGAAAAGGCAACAGGAGATGGCGACTAACGATGAATTTTGTTATATTCCGTGCCTTGGGAATAAATACTTAACACCTGGTGGATAATAGAAGAAAGGTTAATTGTACACAACCAATACAATATGAAATACGGTACAGTTATACACACAGGTTAATCTAGTAGTGAGTGCCACTAATTGGTCGGTCAGACGTGCTTACATCATTTCACTCTCACGCTCGTCCCCTGAGTCTCTAGTAGACGGTTAATTTTATAGGTACTTATTACATATAGTATAATCATTCATGGGGGTGCCTGGTTATTCCATTACATCAATTTCGGCGATCGTCCATGTTAGAAATGCTTCAATCAGATAAATTTCCAGACGTAATCCGAAGACGTACTGGAATAACGAAAGATGCTTTCCGGAAGCTAAGTATTAAGAAACAAGAAAATTTCGTTAGAAAAAAAAGAAATGAGTATTGAACTGTTGCGTAATATCGGTCCTTCTATATGGCAGTGAATGCTGAACAATTTCGTCGTAGGTGAAGTAGAGACTTGAAGCAACAGCATTGTGCTTCTACAGAAGGATGTTGAGAATATCAGGGGCTGAACATGTGAGAACGACGAAGTCTTAGAGAAAAAAGAAAGAAAACGTGCACTTTTAGAAAGAAAAAAGAAATTTATATTTAGAGTTATAATTTAGAGAGCATAAAATAAGGAAGGAATGCTTAGAAAATATGAAACTCATAGGACGTATAGAAGCTAAGTTGGGCTATGGAAATCAGCGCATAATCAAGTTATGAGTTTGGTTGACAAAACGAGGATTAGGAGATATAGAAAAAATAGATTTTACTAAGAGCTATATAACATAGGAAATTGAGGAGAGCCATGATCGCCCACATCTAGAAAGGAAAAAAACCCTTTTTTTTCATTATTTATTTGCTTTTTCTTGATCCCCTGTCTTTTGTATTCTCTTCATCATCCCATGTCGTGAAGGAAAATTTTAAATTTGTATCTCTTTCTAGAAAAGTCTACCAAAGCGAGCGAAATAAAGGGTTCAGTTCGACATTCCAGCCACCTGAAGAAGGCCGGAGCATACAACGGCCGAAACGTTGTGATAAATATGGCAACGAAGATGAGGACGATTTTCCGAATAATGTAAATAGTGTACATAATACCTCATCTCAGAAATATAGAGATACTGAAGGGCCGAAACGTTGTAATAAATATGGCGACAAAGATGAGAACAATAGTCCGAATAATGTAAATAATGTACATAATACCTCATCTCAGAAATATCGACAGATACTAAAGGGCCGAAACGTTGTAATAAATATGGCGACAAAGATGAGGACAATAGTCCGAATAATGTAAATAGTGTACATAATACCTCATCTCAGAAATATAGACAGATACTTAAGGACCGAAACGTTGTAATAAATATGGCGACAAAGATGAGGATAATAGTGCGAATAATGTAAATAGTGTACATAATACCTCATCTCAGAAATATAGACATATACTGGTATTAAGATTATTTGTATTATTTACATTATTCGGACTGTTATTCTCATCTTCTCTGACATATTTACAACGTTTCAACCGTTGTACGCTCCGGCCTTCTTCATGTGAGTGGAGGTTTTTTCAATATCTGTCTATGTCGCTGAGATGAGGTATTAAGATTATTCTTAACGTTTGGTTAATTCCAATCGTCTGAAGAAGTCCTTAGCGCACAACGGCCGAAACGTTGTAAATATGGAAGTGAAGATGAGGATAACAGTTCGAATAATGTAAACAATGTAAATAATCAAGTGTAAGAACAAATCTAGTATTGCTTATTTCTTTCCCTTTGTTTTCTTATCGTCTCGTCATTATTACAACATTTCTTTGTCATTCCTATCATTTATTTCCTGTTCTTTTCTTTTTCTTCTTTCTTATTTAAATTTTCTCTTTTTCTTCTGTCTTTTATTTCCTCTTCCTTAGCAGGATTCATCTTTTCTTCTTTTTCTTCAATATCATATTTAGTCTTCCTTCTTCCAATTTTTCTTTTTTCATTTTATTTTTTGAGGACCTTCTTTCCTTCCTCTCTCACGTTATCCTCATATTCTCCAGTTTTTTTTTTCCATTTTTTTAATAGAGACCCAACTCTTTCTTTCTTTCGTTCTTTTTTCTTCCATTTATCACTTTATTTTTGTGTTTCTTTCTTCCTGTCTTTCTCTTTCTTCATTTTCTTTCTTTCCAGTTACTTTCTTTATTTCTTTCTTGTTTCACTTTATTTTTATATTTGTTTCTTCCTTTCTTTCGCGCTGTTCATTTTCTTTCTTTCTTTCTTTCTTTCTTTCTTTCTTTCTTATAATTCAGCTTTCATTATTTGTACATTTATTTTTCTAATAACTATTTCTTTCTTTCTCTCTTTCTGTCTTTCTTTCTTTTCTTTCATTCTTTATTTCTTTTTTAATTTTTCATCCATTTGTCACTTTATTTTATGTTTCTTTCTTCCTTCCTAGTCTTTCACATTTCTTTCTTTTCTTTCTTTCTTTCTTTCTTTCTTTCTTTCTTATAATTCAGCTTTCATTATTTGTACATTTATTTTTCTAATAACTATTTCTTTCTTTCATTCTTTCTTTCTTTCGTTTTTTATTGCTTTTTTAATTTTTCATCCATTTGTCAGTAGTTCCTAGTCTTTCACATTTCTTTCTTTCTTTTTTCTTTCTTTCTTTCTTTCTTGTTTTCACTTTATTTTTTATATGTGCTCTTTCTTCCTGTCTTTCTCTTTAAACTTTTTTCTTTCTTTTTATCTTTCTTTCATACACACATTAATTATTTCATTTTTCTTTCTTTCAATTTATTTCATTTGTTTGCTTCTTTCTTATTTTTTCAGTCTTTCTTTCTTTCTTTGTTCTCACTTTCTTTTTTATTTGTTTGTTTGTGCTTTCTTTCTTTCTTTCTTTCTTTCTTTCTTTCTTTCTTTCTTTCTTGCTTCCTTGCTTGCTTCCTTTTTTCCTTTCTTTCGTTATTCCTTTTTTGTCTCTATCTTTTCACTTTTCTTTCTTTCTTTTTCCTTTTTTCTTTATTTATTTCTTCTTTTTTTCCATCCTTCCTTTCTTCTCATTCTTTTCCCTTTCGGTCTTCCTCATTTTATTTCTTTATTTATTTCATTCTTCCTTTTTTTTCTTTTCATTCTTTATTCATTTATTTATTTCGTTGTTCCTTTCTTCCTTTCTTTTTCTTTTACTTCTCTTTCTTTCATTCTTTCTTTCTTCCTTTCTTTTTCTTTTCTTTCTTTCTTTCTTTTCTTTTCTTTCTTTATTTATTTCGTTGTTTCTTTCTTCCCTTCTTTTCTTTTCTTTCTTTATTTCGTTGTTTCTTTCTTCCTTTCTTTTTCTTTTCTTTCTTTCTTTCTTTATTTATTTATTTCGTTCTTTCTTTCTTCCTTTCTTTTTCTATTCTTTATTTATTTCGTGGTTTCTTTCTTCTTTTCCTTTTCCTTTCTTTCTTTCTTTCTTTATTTATTTATTTCGTTCTTCCTTTCTTTATTTTTCTTATTTATTTATTTTTTCTTTCTTTCTTTCTTTCTTTCTTTCTTTCACTCCATCATTCTTTATATTAATTTTATTCGTCTCTTCGATGATCTATAATTGTTTTCCTTTCTGTCTTTTTTCCTGTATTTGTCATTAGTCCTTCTATCCCTCTCTCTCCCTCTTTCTACATCACTCTCTCCTCTTCATCTCTCTCACCCTCTATCTCCCTCTTACTCTCTCGCTCTCTCTCTCTTCTTTACTCGCTACTATGATAAACATAAGGACAACTATTCTCAATACTATTATCTCTTTTCAGCTTTTTTTACGATGTTTTCTTCTTTTTCTAACCATTATTTCTTCATCATCTTTCGGTTTCTCAAGTCACCCCTCTTCTCCCCATCATTTTCTTCTTACATCCTCTCTCTTTCTCTCTTCACCTCCCTTATCACATCGCAAACTTCACCGACCATACCCTGCCTCAGATCCCACTTCCCCAACCGTTTCTCTTCCATTATTCGACTTGCCTAAAGAAAATAGCACGGGGGTCACAATTCCGGCATTTATACGCCGACCAACTGGGCTTTGTTATTTTCCCACATTCAAAGTTCTTTTCTTGTTCCGGCCTTTACCGTACCCCAACACCCAAACCAGCATCCAACTGGTCCACCCCGGGTAGACATATTCGACTTTCATCCAGCCACCCACGGGTAACAGCAAATGTCACCCTACCACCTGTTATTTTCAATTTCTGCCTCACCTTCCCGTTTAGCTTAGTAGAGGCAACAAATGACGGGCATAAAATTTTGACTCCCTAAATTTCATATTCTACAAAAGTTCATGAGCTAAGGGTTTCTTACATGTCCGAATAAGGGTATGTAAATATGGCACGAGAGCTTAGTGTATAAATATAATTAAAATCGATTAGCGAATTTTAATCAACACATCAAAGTATTTAGAAAATAGTTACGTTTTACTAGAATGTATATAAAATACGAAGACAACAGAAAAAAATAAATGAAATATAAGACACTGGTGATATACCGGAAGATGAAATTAAATTCATTTTCAAAGAACTGCCTAAGAAGCCAGTTGAAAACGAATACGTTCTCCATCGGACTCCAGCCTAATGTGTCTCATAACAAAACATATAAACTGATTTGAATAGAGCCCCTAGAAGAATTCGACACTGGAACGAGGAATGTGATATTTATGCTCAGAATTATATCGGAAAGAACAATACAAAATGATGTGTACCTATGTCTTTATAGATTATGCAAACCGTTTGAAAAAGTATGTCAAAAAGAATTGTTGGAACTGGCATTAATCTGGGAAGGGTATTAGAATAATCCAGAAATTCTACTGACAGCAAACCGCCTGTATACGGATAGAAAATGTATTCAGTAAATATAAAAAGAAATAAAAAGGTTGGTAAGACAACAATGAGTCGTCTTACCGGACTTATTCAAACCATACAGTGAGACAGTTCTATATAGCAGTGAAAGCTAGACAATTTTCTCACAGATAAAGAGAAGAACAGAGATGCGGTTCAACAGAAAGATACTAAGAATATCATAGATAGAACATGTGAACAACTAGGAAGCTTTAAGGAAAATGGGAATGAAAAGGACACATACTTAGGATCAGAAATATATAGTTGAAATTTATCTGACACATAATGAGGAAAGAAGGTTTGGAGAATTTAACAGTCACAAGGAAAGAGATAATGACAACGTATTTTTAATCGTTTATTTGAAATCATGACAAAAATTAAAGACGAAGACTGAAAGAGAAAGATTATTTTTTTTATTTCTTATATAAAAATAAATCAAACATTAGTTCGATGTTTTATAGATTATACATGTTATAGCATACCTACGAACGATCATCAGTATATCTCGAGTCACATAAATACAGTAGTAAATATTGTATGTTGGTCTGCAATTGGTGGTTCGTCTCCAGCTGTGCAGGTAAAACTCTCTGCTTCTAGGCAGATGTCGAAGGGCTGAGCCTCGCCTCTGGAAACAGCTACCCGACCCTGTTTTATACGGGGTCTACGGGTAATTAGTTCGATGTTTTATAGATTATACATGTTATAGCATACCTACGAACGATCATCAGTATATCTCGAGTCACATAAATACAGTAGTAAATATTGTATGTTGGTCTGCAATTGGTGGTTCGTCTCCAGCTGTGCAGGTAAAACTCTCTGCTTCTAGGCAGATGTCGAAGGGCTGAGCTTCGCCTCTGGAAACAGCTACCCGACCCTGTTTTATACGGGGTCTACGGGTAATTTTTGTCCGAGCCTACGGGCTCGTATAACCCAAATTAAATTCGGCCTTGTGCCACATCTGACCGCATGGGGTGGTAGGTAGATATCTTGTAGTTGGTGATTCATTGTGGAATTCATTTGACTCACTTCTAGCAGTTAACTTATTCTACGCGCCGCTGGCGAATCTTATACGTGTTGTACGTGCCCTAAATATTATCGATTATTACCAACCTTCGTCTGATTATTCTATTCCGTAAGCTTCCTTAGGTTATAAAAATGTAAAAGCATTCCAGAGATTATATCAAAAACAACTGAAGGAATTGCTAACCTTGACCTATTTGGGAAGGGTATTAGAATAATCTAGAACCTCTACTGAGAACAAACCGCCTATAATGTATTCAGTAAATATAAAAAGAAATAAAAAGGTGAGTAAGACAAGGATGGGTCGTCTCACCGGACTTATTCAACCTATACAATGATACGGTTCTGAGTGAATTCGAAGTCCTACCAAGACGAAAATGTTAGCGGACAAAATCTTAGCAACATTAGATATGCAGACGACACAGTACTAATAGCAGACACAGAAAAGAAACTACAAGTAATACTACAGAAGTCAAGGAAGGAAATCAAGAAGAAAGGACTAACCATCAGTTAATAGGAGACAGAATGTTATAGCAGCCATACTAAAACGGAAAGGATTAGTATAAAAATAAGTAGACAGAGTATATCTATATAATTCAATGAAACAATGAAAATACATAATCTCGTTCTATATTTTAATTTTCCCCTCTCACATACAAACCAGACCCATATCGATTGATCCATGTAAGGAGAATCAATTACTATGATTTTATATTTTATGCCTTTCATGTCTTAAATAACTAAATAATAAGTAAAACATAAAATCAAAATTATAGCCCCTAACATCTCTTTGAAAAAACCAATGGCTCAGTGTGGATTCGCATATCAGTTTGTGATGAATTCTATCTATCTATCTATCTATCTATCTCTCTCTCTATATATATATATATATATATATATATATATATATATATACATTCACGGAACACTTTCAAATATCTATTTATCTATGTATCTAATTATTTCAAATATCTATCTATCTATCTATCTATCTATCTATCTATCTATCTATCTATTTTTCTCTCTCTCTCTCTCTCTCTATATATATATATATATATATATATATATATGTGGGGGGGCGTGTATAAATATATATATATACATATATATTTACGCAAAACTTTCAAATATCTATTTATCTATGTATCTAATTCTCTCAAATATCTATCTATCTATCGATCTATATATTTCTCTCTCTCTCTCTCTATATATATATATATATATATATATGTGTATATATATATATATATGTGTGAGTGTGTGTGTTTATATATATATATATATATATATATATATATATATATATATATATTCACGCAACTCTTTCAACTATCTATTTATCAATCTATTTATCTATCTATCTATCTCTTTTCAAATATCTATCTATCTATCTATTTATCTATATATGTATATATATATATATGTATATATATATATATGGTCCCAAATCTTTCAAATGTCTATCTATCTATCTATCTATCTATCTATCTATCTATCTATCTATCTATCTATCTATCTGCACTACTGTTCAAAAGACAGAATGCGATGAACTTGACAGGAGAAAGAAACCATTCCATCCAAAAATTGTAAAAGAGCTCTTAGTCCCATGGAAAAGAAACATAATCCATTAAAAATCCCTACTCTTGTCCTATATTTCTATTCGACTTTAACTTCGTCAAGTAAGAACCTTTGTCAAAATATTTGGATATCAGTCAGACGTTTGGGTATCAGAGAAAAATGACATCGAACAACCGAAACCAAAATTCGAAATCTTTATTCCTTTATACACATTTTTTCAACTGTATTTTTCAATTTTCCCTGAGATCTTCTACTTATTGGTCGACAGTCGAAGGTACTTAATTTTTATCACTATATAATTGTTATATTATTGTTATATTATTGTTGGTACGTAAGCCTACGTTTCTCCATTAGTCACATAGTGTGAATATTATGCAATGAAAATTTCAGATCAAATTTCAGTAAACAACTGCGTCAAGCTCCAGCCTCTTACCTCTCCAAGCAATTTATCCCTGTCTGAGTCAAACTATCACAGCGAAAAAGAAAGGCAAAGATAAAATCAAAAACCATTTGAAGGAAAGTTTGGGTTGATCCTATTTTTCCGAAAATATTTGAAAGATTAAAGACAACGAAACGATAAGAAGAAACAGAATTGATTTGACTGAAAAATACACAATTAACTTGGAGCTTCATGCAGCATAAGTTAAGTATTAAAGAGAAGACGTTCCTGAGTCCTGACTCTCTTTTTGGAAACACTGGTTCTTTGTTCATAAAAACACGTTACGGATGTTCCTCTTTTGAATGCGGTAGGTGTAATGTCTTTGCGAATGACCAACACCCAAACAACATTTCTCTCCACCATCTTACTCTCCTTCTCTCGTTCTTTTTTCTCCTCTCTCTCTCTCTGCTTCAAGCTCTCTCCCTATATATATATATATATATATATATATATATATATATATATATATATATATATAAGAGAGAGAAGAGAGAGAGAGAGAGAATTATATCAGGGGAGGAGAGACGGTAAGAGATTTAATAGATTGTGAATAGGCAAAACAATCTTTCGTGTGTGAATTCAACAAAATTGGTGTAAGAAATTTTCAATAGATAGAGAGATAGATAGATGAAAAAAACGAGATAGATAGATATGAACAAAAACGAGATAGATAGATAGATAGATAGATAGATAGATAGATAGATAGATAGATATATTAAAAAAAAACGAGATAGATATGAACACAACGAGATAGATAGATAGATAGATAGATAGATAGATAGATAGATAGATAGATAGATTAAAAAAAAACCAGATAGATAGATATGAACACCTAGGACGAGATAAACAGAAATATAGATTAGATAGATAGATAGATAGATAGATAGATAGATAGATAGATAGATATGAACAGATCGATATAGTGAGATAGTGAGAGATGAGTGAACAGATTAGATAGACAGACAGTAAGTGATTGAATGAATGAAGTCATTGCAATATATAGACAGATAGCTACGAACCAACTTCCATAGATAGATAGATAGTGATATAATGGAATATGCGTACACCTGTGTTCCCCCTCACTGGAATATGATTGGCTGGTCTCCGTCATAAATACGGACGGACGTGTAGGAGCGAAGAATCATAGCCTTAGTCTGAGAGCTAAGTCTATAACGACGTCCATTGAACGACGCCATTGATCTACACTTCTTATCTGCAACTACGACGCGTACCAGTCGATTACTGCTACCGTATTCTACTTGGTTATAGTAGCCAAATCCACTAAGCTACTTCGTTCAAATATATCCCTTTCAGGTACATACCAGATAGATAGAGAGCTAGAACGATCTCTCAACTTATTTTCAACTGGATCCTTTCATATTCACGGATAAAATTTGGGTATCGTTATTGAAGGCGAGAGAAACTCTCCACAAGCATAATTAGTTACCTCCCATTAAACGGTGTTAGCAACTACGCACTGCCTGCACAAATAAGAAATTTATCTATCAGATGAACAAAATAATTCTGTCTTCGACAATAATAAACACTACAATAAACACTTGCAATATACAGTACCTTGATGATAACATTATGCTATGTCGAAAGTACTCGGAATAAAAGAAATATGAATCAAACGGCGATTTTCTCTCGTCTTTCAATAACGACACCAAAAAGCTTATCTTTGAATAGGAAAGGATCCTGTCAAAGAAAAGCAGACAGGAGATGTATAATTTATTCAACGTAAAACATGTCTCAATGAAAACATGCTGTCAAAATATACGCACATATATATATATATATATATATATATATATATATATATCCTATATATATATATATATATATATATATATATATATATATATATATATATATATATATATACGATATATATATATATATATATATAATTATTTATTCGAAAATTATAACATAAATATGTTATAAAATACCTACAAATATAGCCATTTTGTTTTAACACTTCTGGTGTCTTATCAAGTGATGGTGTTGAATGTAGAATAAAGGGTCTTAAAAGGTGCAAATCAATCAAACACCCCTCACAAGGGGAAACGCTGTTACATAAGCTGGAATGACCAATCAAAATACAAGTATACGAGAATTCAAAAAATTTGACAACGAACTAAGGTTATAATAATTATTTAATGTCTTAATGTTGGGTTTAGAATAAAATAGAATTTATTCTAACTAATAAATATTAAATTATACGATATAATTTGAAATTAAAAATTACCCATTTTAAAATTTAAATTTAATCTCTATTAAGTTTTAAAATTAGAAAATTACCGAATAAAAAAGAAAAAAATACATGTTATTCTATTTATTTTGCTTTTATTGAAATTAAGTTGGAATAAACGTTAAGATCAACTGTTGATCTGAGCATCATGGCAACATAGATACATTTGAATTCTAAATATAGGCAAGGGAGGATGACATCTTGCAAAAGACAATACATACATAATCAGATTATAATACATAAACACGCAGAAATATTTAGATATATACACACACACACAAAAGTGACGAGACAGGAAATATCTCCACGACCCTTTACAAAAAAAAAAAAGTTACCATACACAGAGACACCGATAAAGACACGTACATACATCCATATATTAACATAGACATTCCGTTACAACAGCCAAGAAATATTTAAGATTGAAAGTGTTATTAAACGAATTCTAACCACTTATTAAAATATAACTTATACGGGCAAATATATATATATAGATAAAAATGGTCTAATAAAAAAGAGAAACAAACAATTGGTAACGAAATGACATTAAAACAGATATATACGTATAAAAATAACACCATCTAATATATAAAAACGAACATTCCAAACACACAAATATATATATAAAATATATATATATATATATATATATATATATATATATATATATATATATATATATATATTCATATATATCTACACATACTACTGCACAATAGGTGAAAGAAAATAAAACTACCTACAGATATATGTGCACAGTGTACACACATTATTCACTACAGACAGAAACACAGAAGGGCCTACCTACAGACAAACATATGCATACATATATACATATACATGCATACACACATACGCATATATATATATATATATATATATATATATATATATACGCATAAGCATATGCATATATACACATATAGAAGCAAGCATAAATATATCATGCCACACAGCAACGTTACTAAACTAAACGATATTTACAATTCTCCCAACACAACGTAATTTTCTTTATCAAGAAATATTCCAAAATAAAATCTACTTTTCTGAAATTCTATTTGAGGAAGATTAACTGATTTAGAGTTTAGATGTTTGAAAATTTTGCTATTTTTTTCTACGTGGGACATATCTATAAAATTAGCTGATGAATATAGCGTGACCGCCTTTTTTATAATTTTTGGATACCCAGCAGTATTAAAGTAACCTAAGTAATCTAATGTTTTACTGAATTTTAGATATTTTGGCTTTAAATTTACTTATTTTCTATTAATGTCGTGTATCGAATTCTTTTTTTATAAAATCGGCAAGAAAAAGATCAAAATTATTTTCAAATACTGGGCGTCGCTGAATTGTACTATGCTTTTCAATTTCGGATTAGTAAATATATTTTTTTCCTTAATAACAATATCGCCTAACTGGCACAAATTAATAAAGAAATTTCAAAGATTTAAACTTTATAAATATTTTTATTTCTTTTTCTAAATGAAAATAATGTTTTTCGAAAATCCGTTATTCATTGAAGAAAAAATCGTTTTTCTTACCACAATATTGTTCAAAACATATTTGATTAATATGAACTGATAAGTTCTGTCTGTATATTGCTCTCGATGTCATATTTTTTGTTGTTGTTGTGCAAGTACTTTCAACATTCGCAGTCATCATCAAGAACCGATATGGTGTCTGTGTGGTAGTTCGACTACTTATGTCTGCATCCGGGTATTCTTTGTCTAGCTAGACTTTTGAAATGATCTAGCGTGACGTCATATGTAACGGCTAATTGGGAGCGAGGGTGGAAAAAAGAATGCGATTTATTTATTTATTAAATAATTTAAAATTTTATTTTATGTTATTTTAATTTTTGTTATCATTATAAAAGGGTTAAAAGAGGTGTGCACATTAATTAGATTATATGCACAAAATATGAACTTCAGACATTTTATCTACAACTTCTCGCAAAAAACTCAACACCTTATCCGAAAATAGGAAAAACATAATAAAAAAATAAAACAGACCTTGTCAGTTCCTTCTTATTCAAACTTATTTGCATATATATATATATATATATATATATATATATATATATATATATATATATATATATATATATATATATATATATATATATATATATATTGAAAATTTATTTCGGTTGAGCTCTCTGGGGAGAAAGTGTGGGTTTGTAAACAGAGATTATTATGGCTAATAATGCAAGACTCTTCGGTAAATCGAATCCAGTTCTCTCAGTCACTTTGTGTTTGTTTATCCAAAAATAAATACGCTTAAATTCACCTTCGTCTCTCCTGTGCGCCAACGACTTAGTGGTAGAATCCCCGATTAATGCCAATTCAATCGGTTTTCGATCCTAGCTGCGAAATAGTCTGTCTGTGGATGACAATATATATATATATATATATATATATATATTTGTACTTACTATTAGAATTAACATACCATTAGTTAATGACCATTTTCATCTACGAATTTTAAATTTAAAACTGTTTATCGTGTCAGCTTTTAGAATGACACTTTCTCCAAACTTACACCATAAACAGCTTGAAAAATCCTGCGAATTTTAAATTTTAAATCCTTAGTTGAAAACGGTCAATCACTAATGGTATTTTAGTTCCAATTGTAAGAAAAATTTTGCCCTGTTTAATGAAAATTATTGAGCGCTCTTTGTGTGTCAGTTTAACATTTAATATTTAATATTTCAAATTCTATATTGTGCTAATAGGACTCGCTTGGATTATACCAACAATATATACCTGTATATATATTTGCATATATTTAATATATTCAATGTTTAAACGTTATTTTTAATAGAAACAATTTATTTAAGTAAATAATTTGTTTTTAATTAAACATTATTAATTACATTTACCGGCTTAAATATTTGAGAAATTTCGTAGAAAATATGTTCTCCAATAGGAATCAAACCTGTATTCCTAAATGTCATTTGCCTATAAATAGGTGTTCTCTGATAGAAATCGAACCTGTTTTCCTAAACTGTATTCCTGATGTACTGTAACATTCACCTACAGAAAAAAAAAAAACATCTGCTTAGCAAAGTCCAAATTACTGTTTTTAAACATACAATTTTCTACTATTTATCTTGAATGATTATATCTGGTCTCACGGGCATTTTTTATGTGTATATAATTTGACAAGTACACCCGCCCTCACACATATAAGTTTCATTGAATTATGTAGACATATTCTGTCTACGTATTTTTATACTGATGCTTTCCATGGTAGTATTGTTGCTATAACAGAGCGCGTTCGCGCGAGTTTTTAAAATCATTATCACCACAAATTGCAAAAATTGAAGACCTTATCATTGCTAGAATACGTTATGTTTGTAATTTGCTAATGAAGGTAGTCTTAGGAAAGTTGGAAAGTAGTTTGGTTAAAAAAGATAAACAAAAAACTACGTCGCCTTCCTTGATGAATTAAATCTAAACATCAAGAAACTGATTAGATAACTTAGACAGGGATCCGTCTAAAATAAGTAGGCTCAATATGTTTTATATTATTGAATGTAACATGTTAGATTGAAGACACACACGCACACACACACG